ATGGGCACCAAAACACATAAGGTCTCCATACCCCGTCCGGTATGAGAGACACGTTCCCGGTAGAGTTCCCTACGGACCCGGTCCATCCACCATCTCCCAAGATATCTAGTCAGACTGTCCACATTTTTCACTTATCAATTCACATAACCTTTTTGCCTTTTTCCTTAATCTCAATCATCCAATCATACACAACATGTAAACCAGTAATTGACACCAAATAAGATAACACAGTATCGGGTTCACCATAATACAAACTATAATAAAAGAAATCATGATTCATGCATACGAGACCATAACATAATTACATCAAACATCATACTGCATTTAATACTGAAAATTAGATCAAATAACAACAGACCAACACTGTATCAGACTCGGGCTCCATTGGCAATCTCAATCAATTATACATCTACAAAGTCTCAAAATACTGTTTAATTATTTATTAAGCTTTAATACCGTGATAGGAAATAGGGTGAGGGGTCCTTACTTGTTTCGGGGTCTGAAATCGACTCTATAGTGCGCCTACGAGCTGTCCCTAATTTCTTTGAATTTTTTTCGGAAAACTGAAACGCACTACCGGTACCTGCACGTGTCCTAAAAAAAAATTCCAAATCAGACCTAGGGCCCCTTTCGGCCAATATCAGAATTTCGGCACAGCGGCTCCGCTATGCTCCGGCGACGGTGCCACCGCCTGCGGCGGCGATCTACCTTGGGTTGGCCATTTTCGGCTGAATTCGGCCAAACTTGCATCGGTCCCTGCGATAAAACAACCCTAGGGCCCTCGGTGGGCAAAAAAATCAAGAAAAATCGAGACTTACCGGTGGCGGTGCTCTCGGGTGCGGCAGCTCCTCCAGTGTGAGTCGCGTTTTGATGTTTAGCTCCGATCAACCTGTAGAGAAAAGAACAGTGATCACAGTGGTATAAAATTTGCATCGAACGGAGGCCGGGAAGGGTCTCATCGGAGGCAAAAACATAGGGGAGTTGCGACGGCGGTGCCGGACTTCGGCGGAGTTTTTCAGCCGTTTGACCGGTAGTTTGGCTCCGGTTTGGCTATAGGCAGATTCAGCATCGAAAAATGAGCCAGAGAGAGAAAATTTACCTTGATTGGCGGTCGAAAACTTCTCCGGTGCGGCGGCAGGTGGCGACAGTCGGCTCCTTCGGCGTCTGGTTCTTCTTCTCCAGCGAGGCACTGGCGGCTAGGGTTTTGTGATCAGGTGTGGGTTGGGTTATTTATACCCTTTGCCTTTTAGTCTCAACCGTCCATCAAGATTAAATCTTGACTGCCCGATTGTGATTTAATTAGGATTAAATCTAGACCGTCCATCGCGATGCGATTTGGGCCGTCCGTGCGCACATTTGATCTGGGCTGTCCGATCGCACGCATGCGGATTACCCACGTGGCCCGTCCCGTGTCAGCGTTTTCTTGCCACACGGCGTGTCCTTGTTGGTCGGGGCTGCTGACGTGGCACAACTTTTCTAAATTGTGTTTTGACTTCCGGTTTTCGATTTTCTTTTCAAAAACAACTCCATAATCCAAATTTTCACCTTTTTTTTTCAAAATCACTTTCAATTAAATTCAAATAATATTTTTACCCAATTTTATCATTATTATTATTTTTATTTTTATTAAATTAAATTAAATTAAATTAAATTCTAAAAAATTCAAATACAAAAAAGAAAAATAAATAAAAATAAAAATAATATATTCAAAAAATATATATATATTTGGGTGTTACACAAATAAATCAGTTTGCTTTTAGTGTCACAGTGTTGAAACTTGCTATAAATTGTATTGATACCCAAAATGATATAAATTATATGCTAAGTGGATCAACAGTGTAAATAAGATATAAAAAAAAAAAAAAAAGTAGTTATGCAACTTTCTTCATATACATATGTAAAACACTACTACGTATGAAGAATTATCGAGAAAACATAAGTACACTCGAAAAATTTTCTCCATCTTTTTGAGTTCCCATTTTTTGCTTTCTTCAATTATCTTTATTTATTTTTTGATATATTATGAATAGAATAACATAATATAATACTTAATTATGCAAAAAATATAAAATAATTTTATTACATATTAAAAATTATTAGTTTAGTTTTAGAATCCAAAAAATTAAACCAATATTAAAATACTAAATTCGATTCCAAATAAAATTGAAGTGGGGACTAAATGATTAATTTGAATGATTTTTTTTTTAGTTTCCACCAAATAATAACATACACTAATTCTAACAATAATTACGTAAACAACATAATTTCATCTTTGTAAGTGTCCAAATAATTCAACATGCATGCCAAATCTTTTTGAATCTTGGATACATACCCAAATATTGGAAAAAGAAAAAGTCAAATTAAAACTGTTAAATATACATATATATATATATATATAACATGGGCTATGATCATCAACTTAATTTTCCTTTAAGATAACATCATTTTGTATTGTCAAGTAAATTTTTAAGTTGGCTTCATCAATATATATATATATATATATATACAGTAGCCAAACTTAAAATTTACTTCGTATATGTCACATAGAAACCGGCAAGACATGGTTTTTGGAAATTTTGCAGCCAATTTTGGTGAAGGTCTTTTCTAACTCAAACGTGTTTGACCCAAATTGAAACCAACCAAAAATGAAGTTAAGCCCCCACTAGACATCACTTTCTCGCATTTTCTCTTTCTTTCTGTCTTTGTTTCTCCCCAACCAAACAGTCCCACAAGAAACAATTCATTTTTCTCTGACCCAGTTCTGCACTAACTTATTACATCTAATTATAAAATACATATGTATATATATATCGTTACACTTCAATATTCAAATTTTGATGCAAATGACGAAGCATACTCATAGCGTATGAGTTATACTTTTATAAATTTGAATATATATAAATACTATACGAAGAAAACATATGTATAATGAGGAGTCTTTTTGGTCAACAATGGCCACCTGTATCATAAGTACTGTAGGTGTCGACGTGTTCCTCTTCTCTGACTTTGCACGTGCTTTCATTCTCTAGGCGCGAAATTCATTACTTTCCTTTTTTATATTCTACACGTGGCGGTCCATTCGGGCGAGTAGACTACTTCTGTAATCACCTGATTTCTTTCCCACAAAAATTCTCCAGTCTCCGGTCTCTCCTCAACAAACCTCAATAACTTGTTTGGTTATCCAAATTAAAATAATAATTAATAATTTTTGTGATAATATGAAATTTAATAATTTAAATTTGAATTTGAATTTTATTTCTCATCTTATCTAAAAAAATAAAAATATATAAAATATTAAATCAACCTAGTTAACATTTGTTTTAATTAAGTAAATAATTAATGTCCTTGTCTTAAGCTTAATTTAAGTATGAGCATGGTAAAATGATCCATTACTAGGAATTTAATTATTATAATTATTTAATAATCAATAAAATGTTAGCAAATTATATTTCGTTATATATATCTATGTATGTCATAAGATTATTTTAATTTATAAATTAATTAATTTTTTTTAAAAAATAGAATATATAACATTTAGAGTACATTATATTATTTATTTACAAGACATACAAACAAAAACTATAAAATTTTGCACTATTTAGAAACATTGACATGCAAGTTCCTATATAGAAAAGATATACAAACTTAAAGAAGTAATTGTGATTTTTTCAAAAAGAATAAAGGGTATTTCAATCTTTGTATTAGTTATTTATCTCATAACATATATTGTCATAACAATAATCTTAACGTATATAATATTAATGACTAAACACCATGACCTTTGCAATTTACGTATATTAGTGTTAATGATGATCAACATGATTTGATTATTAATATCTTTAATAAGAACATAATGATCTTAGTATTAGTACCTTACATCTATTTTGATTATAGTTACTTGTTAACGTCACATTTACTATGTCG